CACGACCTCTTGCATTACATGTTTTATTGGTTTGATTAGGTTGAGGTTAGCTCACGGGAGAAATAAATGTAGGCCATGCAAATATTTCTCCCGGCCCGGGAATCGAACCCGGGACCTTTGCGTGGCAGTCCAGCATGGTGACCGTTCGGCCACGTAGGCAGTTAAATAATATAAAATAATATATTATTACACTGTCCTACGAGTACCTAACTCGTATAAATACCACAGAAGAAAAAAGAACCGCTGTCGCCTAAACGTTCACAAAGAAATGATAAACTCTATGAAATCTTAATAATGATTGATCTTAGTTTCTAATTTACAAAGATGCGAGAATATAATTCAAACTTTACAAACAAACATATGAAAAATTATTGTGTTTATAGTGTGCATAGTTAGTGAGCGTGCAATGGAATTACATGATTTAATTCTGCCTTCCCCTTTCCATCACAGGGGGACTAGACGTAGGCTTGGATTTCATCCGTATGTTGTGGATATTCCAAAGGTTCGCACAAATCGTTACGTTTTGACATTTATATGGCTATGGAGAGGAATTCCCTGCTCGCAGACTTGTTCTCTGAACGTTATAAATAGGGCCTTTTCAAGGCTCCATCGTCGACCTCATCGTCACTTTCCATCAGATGAGATGGAGGTCAAATGTGCACTTACATTTGTAAAAAAAAACGTCAATTAACTTTAAAAAAAATGGTTACTTCTCGAAGGCATGCAAATTTAGATAAAAATGTTTAAAGTTTACACTGTCTTTGATTTAAAGTTTATATAGTTTTGTGATTGTGAGTGTAACCTCGCCAACTAACTACTTTCGCAGTTTGGCGACAAGCGAGACGACGTCTTCTTCGCTTTTATTACAAGGATGTAAACTTTTCCCAACTCCCTAAAAATAATAGTAAACTATGGGTTTTGATATATACCAAAGTTAATTGAGATACTGCCCATATTAGGTCATCGCCCGTGTAAGTCAAAACCGGCTACCTCGTCTCCAAGTTTAAGGAAAAAACAACTAAATCACTTGCAACATTTTAGTAACTGACCGTATCTAACTAATACATGCGGTCTTCTCCGTGTTAATTTTCTAGTGTATTAAAATTTGCAATTTAAATTTAATTGCTGGCATAGATAAAAGCACGTGATTTTTCAGTGAATTTAAATAAGACTGATAAGAAAATTGGTTTTGCAAATCGTTTACAATGTACCCGGATGTGGTGATCTTTTTGTGTCTCTGTACGTATTTGTTATATTATAAGTTCTTTTTTTGTTGATTAATTCTTTTTTAACCGACTTCAAAAAAGGAGGAGGCTCTCAATTCGACTGTATGTTCTTTTTTTTTGTATGATGTTACGCGATAACTCCGGTACTTGGGAACCGATTTTCATGATTCTTTTTTTGTTGGAAAGGGGGTACTTCCGTAGTGGTCCCATTTCATTTTGAAGAAAATCATCCACCTCGAAGGGTGGCTGTTCACGCATGAAGATTCATTAATAATGTCAATAACTATAGACCAATCTCCATACTTTCCGCGCTGTCAAAGGTTTTGGAGAGAATAATGAATAAGCAGCTCTCGATTTACTTGGAGAAATTCAATATAATTTCCAATAACCAATTTGGATTTACTTCTGGCCTGTCCACAGAGGATGCACTTAGCTTAACAAATCATATAGCTCATAGTCTTGACAATAAAACTAAATGCATTGGTATATTTCTCGATCTCTCCAAAGCCTTTGATACCGTGTTAATTCCCATTTTGTTGCGCAAACTCGAGGCTGTTGGAGTGAGAGGGATCACTCTAAAATTGTTTGACAGTTATTTGAGTCGACGTACGCAAATAGTTAAGATAGGTGAGCATGCCAGCGAAGAATTATCCTTAACATATGGGGTACCACAAGAAAGTATACTGGGGCCCACATTATTCAAAATTTATATTAACGAGTTGTGTCAGCTACCCTTACCTCATTGCAAAACTGTTTCGTACGCCGACGACACAGCACTGGTTGTTACTGGGTCTGACTGGTATGTGACCAAATTACATGCCGAACAAGCAGTCCGAACGGTTATGGATTGGTTAAACATGAACCTATTAACAGTCAATGTTGAGAAAACCAAATATATTCCCTTTTCGTTGTCAAACGCCTCCGAACCACCACAGGACTTTACCGTTGCGGCCCACTCTTGTGCTTTGACAGGTCCGACATGTCAATGCGTGAATCTTTGTAGAACTAACTGCATCAAATATTTGGGTATCCTTATCGATGAGAATATGAATTGGCGTAGTCATATTGAAAATATTTGCTCGCGCGTCAGAAAGGTCATATTTGTAATGAAAAAGCTTAGGTATACTGCTGATCGTAATACTCTAATCATGGTGTACGAGGCTCTTTGCAAGTCTGTGATATCCTATTGCATACCAGTCTGGGGCGGTGCCCATAAAACCTCATTAATCAAACTAGAAAGAGCACAAAGAGCTGTTTTGAAGGTTATGCTTTGTAAACCTTTTAGATACCCCACTGCCCAGCTGTATCAGGATTGTAGAGTGCTCTCTGTGAGACAGCTCTTTGTGCTCCACACTATCCTACGCCGCCATCCTTCTGTCTTGTGCAATGACTTAAAAAACAGCTCCAGAAGAAGAAAACCAGTATGTCCAGTATTACGTTATAATACAGTTTTTGCTAGCCGACAGTACAGATACATAAGCTCTTATTTGTATAATAGGATCAATACACAGATTCAAATAGTACATCTTAGTAAATATAGGGCAAAAAAGGTACTGCACTCATGGCTGCTGGCCAGGGACTACGAATTGACGGAGAATCTGGTCCACCGTGGAAATTAATTGCTGGCTCAAAATCAAATAGGTAGTTTCTTCAGTATTGAATATTTTAAACTTTTAATTTGCATCATTTATGTTGTTTTTGTTCATATATCTCATTCAAATGTTTACTGACACTCCTATAAATATCACATCACACACACACACACAGAAACACACACACACTCACAAACACATTCACAGTCTCTCTCATACACTATACACAAACAAACATACATCCAAAAAATTAACGGTGCGTACTCTTACCGTTTGAGTCTTTAAAGTTATATTCTTTTTAGTGATTAAAATACTATTTGTTAATACCGTTGTTTAGTGTAAGGTTAACGCATGTTGGAAGACTGACTCTCATATCACAGGTTACCCTATCTTGAGAGTCAGGGATCTCATATCAAATGTTATATATAGCCTTACCTTATAATCGTTTTGTGTTATCTTTAACTTCTTGAATAAAGAAATTATTATTATTATTATTATTATTATTTTTATAAATAGCTCCTAACTTTAATTTGGGACCAATTACTTTAATAGTTGATTTTGCTATTTCTCCACTTCAAGGCGTTTTCCTCTCAATATACTTTGAGTAGTGAGAACCGATTTTTATTATCTCCAGTGTCAAGTGCTGTATAGTGGCGAACTAGGGGATATTTCAATAAAACTTAGCAAATAGACGTAATTCATACATAGGGCGCACTATAAGTTTCCGGAACTGGCCACTTACATAAACAATATTTAAAAAGTAATTACAACATTTGAAAATGGAATTCTTTGGTTGTAGCATATAGTTTGTTTCATCTGACTATCACTTGTTTTTACATAGTGGCGTTATTTTAGAAATTGGTTGTCTACATCACCATGGATTTAACTTATGAAAATTGTCGTCAACTTTAAGTACAATTTAACAGCTCAGCGGAGCTTCGCTCGGCTTCAAACTGCTTTTGCCGATGAAGCACCATACAAGACGACTATTTATAACTGGTTTGCAGAAATCAAACGCGGTCGTGTGAATTTGAGTGGCGAATTTCGTGATGGTCGCCCGTCCACTGCTGTGAACAACAAAAACATCGATGTTGTGCGCGCGTGCAAGAGCCTCTAAGCGGATGATTGCTTCTTTTTTTAATAAAACTGGACACGTGGCTACTGTTGGTTTGGAGAATCGTTGTGCCGTGAATAGTGATTGGTACACGTTCATTTGTTTGCCGGAAGTTATTGACAAACTCCGTAAAAATAACCGTAAACGTCGTATCATCTTGCACCACTATAATACGAGTTCTCACACAGCCAGACAGACAAGTTAATTTTTGAAGGTGAACAACGTTGATCTTTTGAGGCATCCCGCGTACAGCCCCGACCTGGCACCTTGTGACTTTTATTTATTTCCAAAAATTAAGAACCAGTTACGCGGTCAACGATTTTCATCACCTGAAGAGGCTGTCGAAGAGTATGAAAAATATGTTTCAGAGATTGTCACGGAGGAGTGGCATTAATGTTTTCAAAATTGGTTCATTCGTATGAAAAAGTGCATTACGTTAACGGAGACTATTTTGAGAACAATAAATTCATTTCTGACCATTTATAGTATTTTTTCTTATTCTTTCCGGAAAGTTATAGTGCGCACCACGTATACTCATTGTTTACACCTATATAATATATGTAATGCTACATCACAAATGCAAAGATCTGCAACAAGCAAATAGAAAAAATCGTAAGGTCTACTGGTTGGTCCCGTAGCTCAGTTGGAAGAGCGTCAGCCATGTTGAAGGTGCTGGTTCGAATCCAACCGGATCGAAGGAATTTTTCGTCTTCTTCGCTTTTATTACAAGGATGTAAACTTTTCTCAACTCCCTAAAAATAATAGTAAACTATGGGTTTTAATATATACCAAAGTTAATTGAGATACTGCCCATATTAGGTCATAGCCCGTGTAAGTCAAAACCGGCTACCTCGTCTCCAAGCTTAAGGAAAAAACAACTAAATCACTTGCAACATTTTAGTAACTGACCGTATCTAACTACATGCGGTCTTCTCCGTGTTAATTTTCTAGTGTATTAAAATTTGCAATTTGAATTTAATTGCTGGCATCTGGCATAGATAAAAGCACGTGATTTTTCAGTGAATTTAAATAAGACTGATAAGAAAATTGGTTTTGCAAATCGTTTACAATGTACCCGGATGTGGTGATCTTTTTGTGTCTCTGTACGTATTTATTATAAGTTCTTTTTTTGTTGATTAATTCTTTTTTAACCAACTTCAAAAAAGGAGGAGGTTCTCAATTCGACTGTATGTTCTTTTTTTTTTCTTTTTTTTTGTATGATGTTACGCGATAACTCCGGTACTTGGGAACCGATTTTCATGATTCTTTTTTTGTTGGAAAGGGAGTACTTCCATAGTGGTCCCATTTCATTTTGAAGAAAATCATCCACCTCGAAGGGTGGCTGTTCACGCATGAAGATAATTTTTATAAATAGCGTCTAACTTTAATTTAGGAGCAATTACTTTAATAGTTAATTTTGCTATTTCTCCACTTCAAGGCGTTTTTCTCTCAATACACTTTGAGTAGTGAGAGCCGATTTTTATTATCTCCAGTGTCAAGTCCTGTATAGTGGCGAACTAGGGATTATTTCAATAAAACTTAGCAAATAGACGTAATTCCACGTACTTTTCAGGTCGGTTTTTTTAGTACTCTGTATATGGGTCAAGTGGACACCTAAGATAAATTCAACTCTATATCTTTTCCGACAAGGACGTTTGAAGGTTCCAAGTGTCAAACATAATATGCTCTTGACTGTACAACTTGTATAAAATTAAATACAACCTGCATATATTGTCATGAATGTATGCTTTTGATTAACTTAAGAAGGCGTTGTAAATATAAAGTCGATCACGTTTTTTGTTTTTTCTTAGAAGTCTTTGCTACTGGGTTTTGTAAAACAAATAGTTTCCTTAAAAAGATGTAAGTAATAATTAGAGGAATTTTCCTTAATACACATGTATATTTAATATTTTTTGAAAAATCAACCTTGTGTCAATACAATAAAGATGCAATTTCACTGAAGTTAAAAAACAATTGCCACGACACTCAAGGGACACTCGTGAGCTATTCCACTAAGTTCAACTAAAGTTCAGTCAGTCGAACTACTCGTAATACCCTGGGTAAGAGATAATGGGGCCATTACCTTTTACCCCGTTTGAAGGTACCAAGCGTCAAATTTATTGTGCTCTTGACTGTACAAATTCGATAAAATTAAATACAACCTGCATATATTTAACAAAGATCAATCTTAAATTAATCTTACGAAGATATGTTTTTGATTAACTTGTCGATCACGTTTTTTGTTTTTTCTTAGAAGTCATTGCCATTGGGTTTTGTAAAACAAATAGTTTCCTTATAAGGATGTAAGTAATAATTAGAGGAGCGTGCCTTAATACACACGTATATTTAATATTTTTTGAAAAATCAACCTTGTTTCAATAAAATAACGTTGCAATTTCACTGAAGTTAAAAAACAATTGCCACGGCACTCAAGGGGCACTCGTGAGCCGTGAGCACCTATCTGGAGCCCGTATTCTGTATCTCAGTAATTTTCAGGTAAGTTTTTTGTAGGGTCACCTGTCGAACAATGGAACACTCGTACACAATGAAACACCGCGATAATTTGAAAATGCGACGTTACCAAATAGCGCAGAATAGCGTGGAAGGATGCACTCGCGGAACCCCCCTCTTAACCTAGAGAGGGGTTCAGCGAGTCCGTCACAAAGAACCAGACATTTTTTCAGATTCTCTTTTGATTTATCGGCGAAAAAGTAAGTATTTTTTGCAATTTTCGTCGTTTTCTTACTAAATTATACTTGGAAATCCCGTATTGCTAAATATTGCTTAGTATTGTACGTGTTTCACAGATTTACGGGGACTAGTTCATAAATGAAAATATTTAAATTTAGAGTGTTTTTTTGAGTTTTTTATGACGTAACCTAGGTAGTCTACAAAGAAACAGTGGCATGGACACATTGACTTACAATGGACACAATGTTTCATTGTGTACTATCTCTTGTGATTAAGAGTAATTGTTCGAAAAGATTACGTAGGTTAAAGCATTTTTATATTTTGAAAATAGGTTTTATTATATATTTATTCCCATAATTACAAAAATAACGAAATAATTACACTGTTTCACTGTTGAATATAAGGTGTTTTATTGTGTACATCCTGTGGACACAATGAAAAATTTCCCATTTAAAAAAATAAACCTTGTTAAAAATTATCTATAAACTGTGTAAGAAATCTGTTTAAGACATTCGATGCTCAATTAAATTGGCTATCTGTGCAAAAAAAAATTACCCTTGACTTTAAAAATAACAGAACTATGAATGTTTGAAATTTTGGTGTTTCATTTTTTAATTATTTAATTACTCGAATAGATCGTCGTGAAATATTAAAGAATTAGGAATTAGGGGGTTGATGTTGCTCGCTTTCGTAGGTTTACCCTCGAGACCCTACAAGTGACCCCTGGGTGGTGCTAAAGAGCAAAAACTACCGGTAGTAGGATTCGGCCGTGCCCGGTTACCACCCTTCCGACGCAGTCGAGTCGCCAAATGGTTTATCCGTGTTCCGGCTCGTGTTCGGGAGTTGCCATTTGGAGATCGGGTCTGAACAGCTGCATTGCGTCCAACGACGAGTAGTAGCTACTTGTACTGCCACACTGAGCACTCGGTGCTGGAGACTAGCGGGATCCGAAGCACGGTGCACCGCTGGCCGACCGTGGGAAGTTGGAGGCCCAAGTAGCGGGAAAGCCACCCGTGAAAGGCTGCCCCGCCACCCAACGAAAAATCCCGGTATGCTCCACCTTGCCGGGTGGCGAGCAGATGGGAGGACAAGGTGACCATCTCCGGGGGGGTTCGGGCGTCCCCGCGGTCTCCAAACCGATTGTACCCTCGTGTGGCAGTGTGAGTTTGCTGCTTGGTTGGAGGACGCAATGCTTCGTTCAACTGCCTTCCTCCTGCCTATTCGCTTCTCTTAAAAAACTATGAGTCACGAAAAAGGAATACTTTTTTCACAGCGGTTGCACGTCCTCCCATTAAAAGTGCACCTCACCAACATCAGAGGAATGCACTCAAATATCGAAGCGGTCCACCACCACCTGGAAACCGATAACCCGCAGCTGCTGTTCCTCACCGAGACGCAGATCAGATGTTCGACTGACACGGCGTACCTCAGCTACCCAGGGTATACTCTGGAGCACAGGTTTCTACCTCGTGCCGGAGTCTATGTGTACGTTCGTGATGACATCTGTATCAAGCGTCTCAAGAATCTTGAGGCACCGAGTTTTTCTGTTTTGTGGCTTATGGTTGACACAGGAGTTACCCAAATAGTATACTGCTAAGTCTACCGCTCGCACAGTGGAGATCAGGAGACAACCAAGCTGTTTCAACATCTGAGCGAGACCTCTGATGATTAAGCATCATCAGAGGTCTCGCTCAGGTAACCAGGGGCGCAACAAGTAATTCTGGGGGACTTTAATGCACACCATCAAGAATGGTTGTTCCCATACCAGATGACCGATCATGCTGGGAAAGAGACGCGAAAACTTGCCTTATCGCTAAGCCCTTCCCAGCTTGTCAGTGACGTCACAAAGATCTCAGATGTTGAGTCTCACGGCTAATTGCTTGGACCTACTGCTAACAACTGATCCAGACCGATACTCGGTGGTTGTGGATGCACCATTGGGTATCTCTGACCACTGTCTGGTGAAAGCTGTATCCGTATACTCCTCACCCAATCAGGGCCCCAGTGGTGCAATACAGGTTAGCAGATTTGGACGATATGCGCCATTTTTTTGCTACATATCCCTGACAGGCTTGCTTTACTTCGTCGCGGTGAATGTTCACTGATCCCACGGCGCCGACTCAACCGGCGAGAGGGAAACCCGGGGGGGTTTTAGTGGGGTAGGCCCTCCAGGCTAAAGGGAGAGTCCCCACTTAACCTCTGAGTCTCCCTGGGCTCAGGGGTATCTATAAAGAATTCCCCCCGTCAAAAAAAAAGGCTTGCTTTACTTCAGAAGATTCGTCGAGCTGTGCTGATTGTGTAGTTGAGGTCTTGCGATTGGGCATGGAGTATTATGTACCATACTTCGATGTACCTAATGGGCCCCAAGCTCGTCCATGGTTTAACGGTGACTGTAGTCGTGCTGAAGCACAAAAACAGTCTGCGTACCAAGCTTGGGCAGATGCTCGACTACGCAAAGCTCCGAATACTCGGAATCTGAAGAAAGACGTACTCAGAACTCTGCGAAGTCTAGACGTGCATAAAGCTAGCGGGCCAGATGGAATTCCAGCAATAGTCCTGCATAACTGTGCGCCTGAGTTGTCTCCTATTCTCACACGCCTGTATCGCCTCTCGCTTGAGACTGGTGTAGTTCTCAGGGCGTGGAAGCTTGCAAATATGCAACCAGTGTTATCTGAACATCGGGCGATAGATGCCGGAGCTCCTCAGGGTTTTGTACTCTCCGCAACCCTTTTTCTGCTGCATATAAATGATATGTTGATTCCAGGTACCTTTGGGTATGCTGATGACAGCACAGTTGTGGACAGGTACTTAACCAATGCAAGGGTCAGTGGAGAGGAAATCCAGTCTTGTCGAGAGTCCATGGTTAGTCGTTTGAATTTGACGCTTAAGGCAGTCTCCGATTGGGGCGATGACGGTCTTGTCAAATTTAATGCTACCAAAACACAGGCGTGCCTTTTCTCCACTAAACGGAGTCCCTTTCACCTGAATCCGACCTTTCGTGATATATCCATACCTATAGCCTACCGTCTTCACCTACTTGGAATGGACCTGTCGTCCAATCTGAACTTCGGCAGATACTTTGAATCCATAGCCAAAAATGCAGCCTAGAAGCTTGGCATCCTTTCCAAGGTGAGGCGATACTTCACATCGGGATTGTTGCTTCAGCTGTACCAAGCACAAGTCCGGTCGTGTGTGGAGTACTGCTGCCACTTATGGGATGGCTCTACTAAATACAACTAGCCACCTTCGATTCAATAGACAAGCAAGCTAAGAGGCTTATAGGTGACTCGGAACTAGTAGAGGCGAAGCTGCAGATCCTCGAGCACCGCCGAAAGTTGCCAGCTTATCGGTGTTCTACAGGATATATCACAGAGAGTGTGCGATGGAATTGCATAATTTGATTCCGCCTTCTCCTTTCCATCATCGGGAGACTAAACGTGGGCGGGGGTGCCACCCCTATGTTGTGGATACTCCCCGGATTCACACGAAGCGTTTCGCTTCCACGTTTATATGGCGAGCGGCTAGGGAGTGGAATTCCCTGCCTGCAGACTTGTTCCCCGAACGCTATAACTTGGACCTTTTCAAGGCGAGAGTGAAATGGCTTTATTAAGGTGTGCATGCTACATCCTCGACCTCATCGTCACTTTCCATCAGGTGAAATGGAGGTCAAATGCGCACTTATTTTTTTATAAAAAAAAGATTCGGGCTACCACACTCGAATATTAAATAATACTTCATGATAATATTCTATAAATATTTAAATAAAAAGAAATTGTCACCAAAATTGAGTACAAAAAACTCACCTGAAAATTACCCATCTCTGTATAGTCATCGGTACGCTTGCTTTTGTATCTATCTTTTGTAGCACGGATTTACAGTACACGGGAGCAAGAATCTTTCAATTTTAGTGTCTCTTCTAGGTAGGTTAGACACAAAAAACGTTGGTAATCAAATAAGCGGTGAGGCGGTGAGCCAAAAACTTTGAGAACCTATGAATTAGTTCAACAGATTTAACTTAGTGGAACGACGAGTGTGCGTTCTTATATTCTACAAACCAGTGGTCCCCAAACTTTTTTCTGGTTGACCTCTTGTAATGGAAGGAAGGCAACTAAAACGCCACAGGCTCTTCGGCGCAAATCCTATGAGGAGAGACTACGCGTACTAGGCCTCACTACCCTGGAATAAAGACCTCATCGAGACATAAAATTCCGATGTGCATGATCATCAAGCATCTTTAAAAGAAAAGAAAACTTGGAACCAGCACGTGGCCACCATCTCGAACTAGTTCGTGTACCTTCCAAAACACCTGCTGCACACATTTTCAGCAACAGAGTTGTATAATTGGAACATGCTACCGGAAGATGTTGTTTTTGATGTCTCTGTTAATGCCTTTAAAAACAAGCTGGCAACGAAAGAGTGAATTAGTGCTAAATAAGTGAACTAGAACAAATGCAGTACCAATTAATATGTTTCAATTTATTCTAATTTTCATTATTAGTTAATATTAAATTTAACTTAATAAACATTACAATTTGTTAAAATAACATAATTTGCAAAACATAATGTAGCGTAAATTGAAATGTTTATTTGTAAAATTAAAAATAAGGTATTTGATTAATAACTTTTGTAGTTATAGTGAAAAAATAGGGTGATTGCATTAATATTAGACCTAACTGGTTGATGACATACCACCTCAGTCAACCGCGACTATGGGACCCGTAAATGGCCCGAAAGGATGGTTTGTTTGAAAAATCAAATATACGCGATTTAAATCCGAAACAATAATTTCATTTCCTATAAAACAAACATATAAATTTCAACACACAACAACGTGATGTAGACATGGTACCAGCAAAAGCTTCTCTTCTATACGTAATCAAATAAATAATACACCCCCGTGCCTTTCTAATGTTGAACATAGGCACAACATACAAATTATTAACCCGTTTAATTATCTCGCATCTATCAATACATACTTTTCACAGCTTCGTCTAGCCGCTATTATTGTTGATACAAAGATATAACAAACACAAAGACAATTTCTTTGGTCTGACTGGAACCAGCGTCTGTTGACTCACCGTGGCTACCGCTCTTCAACTTCAAATGTGAGAATTATCACAAAGATCGAACACTAAGGAAAATTCCTTCGATGCGGCTGTATTCAAACTAGCGCACTATGGGAAATTTAGGTCAGTTACGGATCAAAAATCTGTAACTTTTTTGTTTTTCCTTTCAATTCCAATTTCAATTTTTAACCGACTTCAAAAAAGGAGGAGGTTCTCAATTCGACTGTATGTTCTTTTCTTTTTCTTTTTTTTTGTATATATGTTACGCGATAACTCCGGTATTTGTGAACCGATTTTCATGATTCTTTTTTTGTTGGAAAGGGGGTACTTCCATAGTGGTCCCATTTCATTTTGAAGAAAATCATCTACCTCGAAGAGTGGTTGTTCACGCATGAAGATTCATTTTTATAAATAGCGCCTAATTTAATTTAGGAGCAATTACTTTAATGGTTGATTTTGCTATTTCTCCAATTCAAGGCGTTTTTCTCACAATATACTTTGAGTAGTGTCGTAGTGAGAACCTATTTTTATTATCTCCAGGGTCAAGTCCTGTATAGTGGCGAACTAGGGGATATTTCAATAAAACTTAGCAAATAAACGTAATTCCACGTACTTTTGAGGTCGGTTTTTTAGTACTCTGTACTGAGATTATTTATTATACATAGTGGGACTTACGACGCTTTTAAGCGCATATACATTTTTATTTAACTACCTGTAACTGAGAGACAAAAAAATGTGCAAAATCATAAGTCTCTCTCTGGTAAATACTACCCAATATATTTTTTTTTTTAATGGAAATGCCATGTTACGGTAATTTTTTATTCATAAAATAAATTAAATGTAATTATAAGTTTTACTTAAAATTATATGAAATAAAAATACGAGACAAGAAAAACATGAAAGCATATTTGTTATTATTTCGGATATCTGTTTTAGACTCCAGTCTCTCTCTTCAATCGTGGCCTAATAATACTGAAATATAATAAATATCTTTTTCAGAATCAGTGATGAGTTGGTCCACTTTATATAATATAATAATAGACGTAGCGTCTCCTCGTCAAGCTCCTGTCTATTTTGAACATAAGGTTTTCGGTTACTGGTTAGAAATCGATCAGAAGTACAAAGTAACGTGTAAAATACATCTTCATTTGTTCTGTTCTTCATCAGATCTAGAGCACTTTCTTACGTGTTGTTTTGTAGTCTTTATTACGAGGTTCTTGAGCGTCTTCTGAAAGTTGTCCGATATTGAGATGAATTTATACCTTGATAAATTTTGAATAAAGAATTTGATAAAGATAGGATAAGATATATATATAGGATAAGATATATTTTTAATTATGATTTATTTTCTTTACATTACACAACAAATTTGAAAAATATCAACTATTTTTAACATTTACATAAGATGTGCTTTATAGAAATATATAATAACACATAGCTTATCTAACAAAATCAATACGAAATACGACGTCGAAAGTTCCAAAATTATACGGCACAACTAGATGAGTATGGGAGAGGATTAGATGTATTTTTATTAAATCAACATTCCTATCTAACATAAAAAACATTCAATATAATAAAGTACGACATCTAAACTATGAAATAAAATTAAATGTGTATTTCAATTAAGACATTGGTCAAAACCATTTTTGATACGCCGTTGTTCTACTATTTCCCATAGTGCAGCGCCTTCAGAATACCATGCTGACGCTCTCACAACTGGAGTTACTTGTATTGATATTTAAAAAAAAAATATTTTTACTGAATATAAGATGAATTGGAAGATGGGAACTAGGTATCTGTTTATGTTAAAGCAATTTAAAAAATCTTTGAAAAAAAAAAAAACAAATTTATCTTTGTTTTCAGTCTCCACACCAATCTTGACAGCTACGCTAGAACAATCACGAAGTTTGTGCAGGTCGGTAATTTTTTTTTGTTGTGTATAGTAGGTAACTACACCCGGTCACAGCGTTGGTCATAAATTAACAACCTGTATATTAAAAGATAGAAAATTTAGTCGAGTACCTACCGAGTCCTGAAACATCGTCATCACGAAATCGGCAACGGTTTCCCTTTAATCAGCAAGAATCAGATGAAGCCATCTTTTTTAAATTTGAAATCGGATTTTACGCAGTCACTCCGCGAGTTGATATTTAAAAGTGATATAAAGCCCATTTGCCTGATTAGTTGTCAGGGATGGATGGCCCTTATGTAGTCTCTATTTCTGGTCAGACAACACTCCGTTTGAAACCACTAAATTTTAATGTTATTATTATAAAATACAAAGGCACACTTGTACCAGAGGAAGAGGCCGAGAGTCTTGACAATGTTGCCATATACAAAATTACATTAATGTTGCTGCTGCCAACAGATTCCAAACCCTTAGAAGTTGTTTTTACAAACTTACTAGAGTCCTTTTCATAAAAGAAATCCCCCAGACGCAGCGCTGTAGTCGTGCGAAGGAATGTCGTAATACTGATTGCGAATGTCGTAAAATTTTTGCAGGTATTCAACGAGTATTAGAAACTACCAAAACTATGGTAGAAAACAATTTTACGACCATTTTACGATCGTCAAATTAAATAGATGGCCATCTGACAAATTAGTTCTAGTACTAGGCGGCCCGTCGTCCTTACCCTGGTAGAATTGTCCCGGAAATGATAAGTCAGTATCTGGCAACCCTAGCCACACAGGTTACGGCTGGTGGGCCGTCCTCGTCGCACCGATCCGTCTGCCTCTGTGGTTTTGCAACTTCAGAGACGTGCACGCGAATTAAATGTCACAAGTTTAATATTTTTTTCTGTTCCCAGAAATAACCAATGGCAGTGCAGCAATGGCGACTGTGTGACCTTGGACGCAAAATGCAACGGCACTCTGGACTGTGCCGATGGAAGTGACGAGACTGAGACGTTTGCAAGCTGTCATGGGAAAACTAAGTAGATACAATGGCGTTTTCCTATTTTTTTAAATTTAAATTTATGAATGTATATTTTCTCTCTAGTGGGTGAAATTCTATAAACTGGACCTAATTTGCCACCTTTTTTTTTTTTTAATTTATTTATCTTGTCAATTACATTTTTTTTACAAATAAGATAATGTTCTCCCAAACTTCATTAAAGTTTATCGGGAGAGTTTGGTTGCTACGCTTACATTACAATCACATAACATTTCATTCTGTTACTCAATTACAGCTCTCTAAATTACTACAATGTATCTAACAAATATTTCTTTAATTCATTTTTTATGTAACTTTTATTACCTTGCAAACATTTTAAGTGTGAAGGAAGATCATTAAATAATGTTGGAAATAGAGCTTAGAGCGTGAAACACACAGAGAGCGGATGCGTGTGTGGGTCGGGACCGCGGCGGGTCTAATTTTGTGTATTTATAGTAGCAGTGAGCTCCTTTTGAAATGTTCGTCCAGGGAAGTACTGCCACCTGACCTATTTCTGCCGCCAAGCAGTAATGTTAGCATTACTGTGTTCCGGTTTTGAAGGGTAAGGGTGCTGGTAAAATTACAGGCACACAACTTGTGTCTTAGGGTGACTGGCGCAGTGGCAGTGCCCCGCAGATCTTTGCGATTTAAAGTTCTGAGTGACATTGCAACTGTTATGGACAGGCGTATAGCTTACCATCAGGTGCACGACATAATAATAATAAATAATTTCAGTACAGAGTACTAAAAAACCGACCTCAAAAGTACGTGGAATTACGTCTATTTGCTAAGTTTTATTGAAATATCCCCTAGTTCGCCACTATACAGGACTTGACACTGGAGATAATAAAAATAGGTTCTCACTACGACACTGCTCAAAGTATATCGAGAGAAAAACGCCTTGAATTGGAGAAATAGCATAATCAACCATTTAAGTAATTGCTCCTAAATTAAAGTTAGCCGCGATTTATAAAAATGAACATTCATGTGTGAACAGCCCTTCGAGGTGGATGATTTTCTTCAAAATGAAATGGGACCACTATGGAAGTACCCCCTTTCCAACAAAAAAAGAATCATGAAAATCGGTTCACAAATACCGGAGTTATCGCGTAACATACATACAAAAAAAAGAACATACAGTCGAATTGAGAACCTCCTCCTTTTTTGAAGTCGGTTAAAAAGTTACAATATGAAAGCGACCGATTTTTTTTTGTGTTGCTTTCGTAATGCTAATAAAGGCAGAAAATTTTCTTGATCATTACCCGACAGCGATGTGGTTGAAAATGGAACGTTGCCGCTTAAGCTGCGATATGTCCCACGCATTTGCAATACGAGTAAATGCGGCTTTAGACGGTCAGAATAATCTTTATGTCTGTTGTTGGGACGTAAATCGCACAACATATTTTTAACACCGGTTTCACGAATCTTTCACTTGTGTTCTTCGCTTGCTTGCGTGACTCGCTTTGCGTGTACGCGCAGGCAGGACTGTTCACGAGTCGTTCGCTTGCGCCGGCCGCTTGCTTTGCGTTAGATTTCTTTGCATTGCGTGAGTTTGATATCTAGCAAGCTTGATATTTCCACGCAAGCAACAGGGAACGTTTCCGTAGCACAGCACCACTCGCCAATCACAGAGCAACAGCCGGTTCGAGAGTGAATAACACACACGTCCTGTACTCACTCGATTTTAAGGTCTACTGAAAAGCAGATTTACAGTTTGAATGTTTTTTGTTTCTATTGCATAAAGTTTTTTCTACGTGGCTTAATGCAATTCCGTGTCGAGGTGTGGGGACTCCTTTAAAGATATTTCATTTTCCATTACCAGACCATACTTGGGTTAGCCTGTTCTGATTTTAAAATAACTTCCACAAAATTTAAATTTACTTCCACAGACCAGCACCAGAGCGCAATTGTGTGGTGCCCCCTTATCCCGACAATGGTCGTTACACTATTTTGAGTGTACCCGACGCCTCTCCAGGACAGTCCTTCTCCAGTTTGCATCTGAATGTGTCGTGCAATCCAGGTTAGATTCTTTTTATTTATTCATTATTAAGACATTATAAAAACATAAACCGATCCACATCATCAGACAGGACACTTTTAGTGATGGAACGTATAAGTCTTGCACCTGGTGATAAGCTACACGCCTACCCATTACAGTTGCAGTGTCATTCAGAGCTTTGAATCGCAAAAATCTGAGGGGCACTGCTACTGCGCCTGTCACCCTGAGACATAAAGTTAACAAGTCCCATTTGTCTACAGTTTGACATCGCTGAGACTTTTGATCGGGTTTGGCACAAGGTATTTCTATTGAAGCTATCATCTTGTTGGGTATCAGAAGGGATATGCACTTGTGTCGCCAACTTCTTGTGTAAGCCGAGCATAAAAGTCGTTGTTGATGGATTATTCGCGGACATCATATTCATAAACGCCAGCGTTCCGCAAGGATCTGTGCTATCACCTACATTGTTCATCCTTCATATCAATGATATGTTACTAACTAGTAACATTCATTGCTATGTACAGTCATCCGACTGTACCGATGATGCCCATTATACAGGTCAGCTAGTGGTAGAAAACAGACTTTAACTAGTGTCCAATCTCTTCAATGGGGTCGACAGAGTCTTGTCCAATTTAACCCCACAAAGACACAAGTCTGTGCGTTCACTGTTTAAGAAAACCCTATTTGTTTATGTATTTGTAGCGCTAAAGTTCCAGAAAAAGCTTTCTCGCACCTTTACAATGAAAGTGACCCAATTGAAAAATGAATAAAATGAGTTTATATCGTAAAACAACTTAAAAATTATTGCTCACAAGGTTATTAATCTTAAAGCTCGAATAGCACTGATTCACTTTATGGGTCTCTTTCATTTTATTCTTTCAGTTTGAAAACGCCACTTCCGCGTCGGAATATCAACGCTGCATTTAATATTAAATCAGCACTTACAAATACGACACCCCGACATTGAGTCATCTTCGTTTCGCAAATAGTTAAAAATCATTACATTTTTACAAACGCGACTTGCTTTATTACTTTCAGGGTTTTCTTTCACAATTTAAGCGACTTATGTCCACTTGCACTAAACTTAAGTAT